AGGGGAAATAGGAAAACATAAAAATTCTAAGTTAGGTATATAAACACTCTGTGACTGATCCCTTTTTCCTGAGAAATGAGGATAGAGAGAGGAAAGAAAAATGTCCTAATGATTGAATGGTACTTTATTCGTCTACCGTCATGTTTTTCTTTGCCTTTTTTTATAAATACAAGGAGTCCTCACCTATTTAATAACAGCACAGTAGATAGAAACAGACACTACCCTTCAGGTTAGACAAAGGAAAAACCATTACTCTTTCACTGTCCAAATCTTTAACCCCACTTCCAGTTGCTTTCCACCTATTTTTTTCTCTAACCTTTCCATAGGTTTCACAGATTTTTTATTTATTTATTTATTTTTTTAATAGCATAGAGAAGATACATAGTTAGGAGGACAGTTTGAGATCAGGAAATATGCCTGAAAATGGATACCACTCGAGATTTTAATGAAGGAATAGAAGCCAGACTAAAAGGTGGTTTAGGGACATTCTAGGCAGGGATTACAGCATGAGCCAAAACATGAAAGAAAGAAACAAGATAAAGTACAAGTATGTTTGTTTCAAGAGCTTAAAATGTGAAGCAAGGATGATAGGAGGTGAAGCTAGAGGGGCCCAGATCCAAAAATATGTCATGTTAAAGAGCTTGCACTTCATCCCCTAGGCAGTAGGGAGCTTTCAACAGATTTTTTTTTAATGGTGAAGGGAGTGAGTCAGATACTGATTTTAGATAGATTAGTTTAATAGCTTTATAAGAAATGCTTGTATCAGTTATCTATGGCTGCATAACATTACATAAAAACCTAGTAGCTAAAATAACACTTTATTATCTCACAGTTTACCTTGGTTCAAGAACCTGGGCATTGATAGATAACTGGGCTTTCTGGTTCAGGGTCTCTCATGAGGTGGCGATCAAGGTGTCAGCCTTTTGAGGTCGCATTCGGGGGAGAATCCACTTCCACGCTCACTGAAGTGGTTGTTGAGTTTCTTTTGGGCTATTGGACTGAGGCATCACTCAGTTCCTCGCCCTAGGCCTCTCCATAGGAAAGCTTATAACATGGCAGCCATGAGAGGGCAAGAGAGGAAGGTGAAGGAGATGGAAGCCAGAGTCTTTTAACCTGCTCTTAGAAATGACATCCTGTCACTTTTGCATATTCTGTTCATTAGCAACAAGTCACTGACTGGTCCAGCCCACACTTAATGGGAAGGGATTACAGAAAAGCATGAATACTAGGGAGGAAGGGGTCATTGGAATCTTTGAAGCTGCCTATCACAGTGGACTTGAGGAAATAAGACTAGAGGCAAAGGGACCACTTAGGAGGCCATTATAATAATGTAAGGGAAGATATAGAGATTATTGTAGACGTGTGTAATAGAAAGAATGGGAGGGGATGCAGACAAGAAATATTTAGGATGTTAAATCATGAGAACTCGGTGATTCAGAGTCGGGGGGTTTTAAGGGAGAAGAAGGAATTAAGGGCGGCATGTGATTATTCTTGACTCTTAAATCACTATCCGACTAAAGAATATTTTCACCTCAGTGTGACTTAAACTCCCATCCACACTGAACTTTTCATCTTCATTAATGCCATTCCCTCCACACTATTAATTTTCTAGGCTTGTCCTTGTTGTTTCAGTTTCTTTACTATATCCGGTTATACACCAGTTATTTCTCTTAGTGTCTAATTTTCTTATTTGTCTCTGCTTCCGTTGTTATCCTCCTACTCAAGTACTTATCAGTGAACACTTAAAGTGTGAGAACTCTCCTGATTTCTTCCCTCTGGCCTTTTTCTTTTTTAATCTAGATTCTATAACACCTATATATCTATCATTCATTTAACTAACAAGTATTTATTGTTGGCTCATTTTGTGACCAGCACTTTACTAGGCCTTCTCAGGAAAATAACAGTGAACAAGACGAGAAAAACTGTCTCTGTTCCTTTGGGTCTTCATTAATATCTCCTCTTTTTTTTCCATCTGTCAGGGACAGTACTAATCTTTTAAGTTATACTTCAACTTCTACCTTCCTTGAAAGGTGTAAGTTCCTTTTATTTCTATCTCCTACAGCTATACTCAGGAGAGGTTTTACTCTGGAAATTTTGAGATTCTACAAGTTTAACAGAGAGCACTGGCTTAAGCTGTTAAGTGTAATGAAGCTGTTTCTGACCTCCCCTCTCAGTCTCCTTCAAGCAGTAGAGCAGTGCCTCAGCGCCCTGACTCATGGGAATCACCTGGAAAGCTTTTAAAAAATGTAGACGCCAAAGATTCTGATTCAAGATATCAGAAGTGAAAACAAACAAGGCTCTAAGGTGAATTTGATGTGTAGCTAGTTTAGAAAACTATTGCATTAGAGTCACCTTCACCATTACAGTATTATTTTTATACATTTAATCATTTAAATAGCCTAAAGCAGTAATTTCCAAATTCTGGTTGAGGACTAGCTATATCAATACATGCAGACTTTTGGGCCCTGTCCCTAGAGGTGCTGAGTCACAGGATCTGTGGTTATAGCCAGCTTCTATATTTTTTAAATAATGAAAGAAGACTGCTGTATAATCGGGTTAGGAAAATATTGGACAAATGGACTAATATATACTATATTAAATTTTTTTTGTATTTCTCTTAACAGTACCATTCAGATAAATGCATGTAAATATTTGATAAATGTTAAGGAGCAGTAGGCCATATATACTTTATAGATTACCTTGGAAGATTCTGGCCATTTGAAGTCATATTTTAAATAATGGCTGAACGACTGCTATGTTAGCTTTTTAGATGCTTCAATACTATTCAGTAGTATAAGTTTAGTATTTCATACATTGATACATTTTATTTAGCTCTTTTATTTCAGATAACATTGATCACGTAAAAAATCTGGAACAGTGACTAGATTCTTTTTTCTCATATTATTCTGATAAATCTTATATTTATCAGAATATTATTACTTTTTTGTAGAATGAGATTGTCGGAATGTGGCTTTAATAAATTCATTGTCTTCCTTTTCTTTAGTGTTATTCCTCTTTTAAGAGAGTCCGTTGGAATATTAATGCAGAGAACTCCTCCCCTTTTGGAAAATACTCTGCCTCAGTGCTATCAGAGGGTAAGTTTCAAAGCTTCCCAACCATTGGATTTCATGTTGCTTCCAAGCTGTTAGGGTTTTTAAACTTTTATAAATATGGGTAGCATGTGTGTGTAATATAGTGTTTCTTCCAAGACTGAATGCCGACCATGAGTGCCATTTATGCAAACCACAACAAAATCACTGGAAAATATTGAACTTTATTAAAGAAAATGTGGTAGAAATTGTCCTCGTCTAGAAATCAAGCAACTCTTTTAAAATATGGCTATGAATAGCAGATGATATTAGCATTTATTCAACATATATTTTTGAGCTCCTGCTTTGTGCTAGATATTCTTCTGAGACCCTAGGGATGTAATGGTAGACAAGACACTGTGTCTGCTCTCAAAGAGCTTATGGTCTAGAGGGGAAACATGGGCACGAAAGAATAAATAAGTAAAATATCAATGATAATTACTGCAATAGAAATAAAACAACGCAAAATAGTAGACACGGATGGCTATATTAGATTTACTGAAGAAGTCATAGTCAAAGAAATCGAAGTCTTGATGACAAGGAGAAGAGAGCTCTAGTCAAAGGAAAATGGTAGCACAAAAGCTCTCTGCTTCCGTTGTTATCCTCCTACTCAAGTACTTATCAGTGAACACTTAAAGTGTGAGAACACTCTCCTGATTTCTTCCCTCTGGCCTTTTTCTTTTTTAATCTAGATTCTATAACACCTATATATCTATCATTCATTTAACTAACAAGTATTTATTGTTGGCTCATTTTGTGACCAGCACTTTACTAGGCCTTCTCAGGAAAATAACAGTGAACAAGACAAGAAAAACTCTCTGTTCCTTTGGGTCTTCATTAATATCTCCTCTTTTTTTTCCATCTGTCAGGGACAGTACTAATCTTTTAAGTTATACTTCAACTTCTACCTTCCTTGAAAGGTGTAAGTTCCTTTTATTTCTATCTCCTACAGCTATACTCAGGAGAGGTTTTACTCTGGAAATTTTGAGATTCTACAAGTTTAACAGAGAGCACTGGCTTAAGCTGTTAAGTGTAATGAAGCTGTTTCTGACCTCCCCTCTCAGTCTCCTTCAAGCAGTAGAGCAGTGCCTCAGCGCCCTGACTCATGGGAATCACCTGGAAAGCTTTTAAAAAATGTAGACGCCAAAGATTCTGATTCAAGATATCAGAAGTGAAAACAAACAAGGCTCTAAGGTGAATTTGATGTGTAGCTAGTTTAGAAAACTATTGCATTAGAGTCACCTTCACCATTACAGTATTATTTTTATACATTTAATCATTTAAATAGCCTAAAGCAGTAATTTCCAAATTCTGGTTGAGGACTAGCTATATCAATACATGCAGACTTTTGGGCCCTGTCCCTAGAGGTGCTGAGTCACAGGATCTGTGGTTATAGCCAGCTTCTATATTTTTTAAATAATGAAAGAAGACTGCTGTATAATCGGGTTAGGAAAATATTGGACAAATGGACTAATATATACTATATTAAATTTTTTTTGTATTTCTCTTAACAGTACCATTCAGATAAATGCATGTAAATATTTGATAAATGTTAAGGAGCAGTAGGCCATATATACTTTATAGATTACCTTGGAAGATTCTGGCCATTTGAAGTCATATTTTAAATAATGGCTGAACGACTGCTATGTTAGCTTTTTAGATGCTTCAATACTATTCAGTAGTATAAGTTTAGTATTTCATACATTGATACATTTTATTTAGCTCTTTTATTTCAGAAAACATTGATCACGTAAAAAATCTGGAACAGTGACTAGATTCTTTTTTCTCATATTATTCTGATAAATCTTATATTTATCAGAATATTATTACTTTTTTGTAGAATGAGATTGTCGGAATGTGGCTTTAATAAATTCATTGTCTTCCTTTTCTTTAGTGTTATTCCTCTTTTAAGAGAGTCCGTTGGAATATTAATGCAGAGAACTCCTCCCCTTTTGGAAAATACTCTGCCTCAGTGCTATCAGAGGGTAAGTTTCAAAGCTTCCCAACCATTGGATTTCATGTTGCTTCCAAGCTGTTAGGGTTTTTAAACTTTTATAAATAAGGGTAGCATGTGTGTGTAATATAGTGTTTCTTCCAAGACTGAATGCCGACCATGAGTGCCATTTATGCAAACCACAACAAAATCACTGGAAAATATTGAACTTTATTAAAGAAAATGTGGTAGAAATTGTCCTCGTCTAGAAATCAAGCAACTCTTTTAAAATATGGCTATGAATAGCAGATGATATTAGCATTTATTCAACATATATTTTTGAGCTCCTGCTTTGTGCTAGATATTCTTCTGAGACCCTAGGGATGTAATGGTAGACAAGACACTGTGTCTGCTCTCAAAGAGCTTATGGTCTAGAGGGGAAACATGGGCACGAAAGAATAAATAAGTAAAATATCAATGATAATTACTGCAATAGAAATAAAACAACGCAAAATAGTAGACACGGATGGCTATATTAGATTTACTGAAGAAGTCATAGTCAAAGAAATCGAAGTCTTGATGACAAGGAGAAGAGAGCTCTAGTCAAAGGAAAATGGTAGCACAAAAGCTCTGCTGTGGAACTAATTGAGTGTGTTTGAAGAACAGAAAAGAAAAGGCCACTGAAGCTGAAGCAGGAAAAAGGGAAGAGGGGCTGGGAAGTTTGGAGAGAGTGGTAGGGGACAGATCATGCAGAGATTCTGGTCTTACTAAGAGATTTAGATTTAATTCTAATTCAACAGGAAGCATTAGAAAGTTTTTAGGCAAGGAGAGCATCATAAAGCTTTTAAAGTTTTTAAAAGATTATTCTGCTTGCTATTAGAGAATGAATTCTAGGGAGAACGAAAGCAAAAAAAAGCAGTTATGAGGTTTTAGTGGAAAAATGATGGCTTGGATTCCAGTGGTCGCAATGAAGATGGAGAGAAGGAGACATTTTGGATAAGCTCTTGGAGATGGATTGTATTAGCAGAGGGAAGAAAAAGTGTCGATTTGTACTGAGGTAGGTGCCAGTGTCATTTGTTGATATTTGAGGTCGTGTTGACGCAGGTTTGAGGATGGAAAATTCCTCTAGATTTGTTAAAATTGAAATGCCTTCTACACTTCTAGAGAAAATGTCAGTTAAGTAGTTAAATATGCAAATCGGTGTTTAGGGACAGATTAGGACTAGAAAGAGTTTTGAGTCATCAATATATGATTAGCATTTAAAACATTAGGATTGTATGAGATTACCTTGGGAGAATTAAGCTCTGTTCTTTCAACTCAACTTTCAACTCCAGATTTAGAGCACAGGTGGGGCAGCCTGGAAAGGGAGCGGTTAGTTAGGCAGCTAGAAAACTGATAGAGCATTTGTAGTATCACAGAGCCAAAGAAAGGGGAAGTAATCAACTGTGCCAAATATCCGTGAGGCAGTTCATGTAGGAATAGGGAAGTTATCACTGATCGGCATCACAAATATTGTGAATAACCTTTATAAGAGCATTTTCAGTAGATATGGAGAAATCAGTGATTTTAGTAGATTAAGGAGGAAATGAATTGGGGAAGTAGAGATAGTGACTAAACAACTCTTTTAAGAAGTGTTGTTCAAGGGAGTTAAGAAATGAACTGATAGCTTGGCAATGGATGTAGTATCGGGGAGAGGGTATTTGTTTGTTTTAAAATAGAGTATTTTAGAACAGCACTATCCCATAGAATTTTCCCCCATAATATGAGTGTTCTACAATCTACACTGTCTAACATGAAAGTCACAAGTAACATATGGCCATTGAGCACTTGAAGTGTGGCTAGCGCAACTAATTTTTTTGTTTAATTCCATTTTCATGTATCTAGCCACATGTGTCTAGTGACTTCTATATTGCACAGCACAGTTCTGGAGCTGTTACTGATGGGAACAGTCCATCTGTGAGGAAGAAATCGATACTATGGTAGTGAAGGGGGTTAATGAAGGAATGAAGTTTTTGAGGTGAAAAAGGATAGACCCCAAAGCACTGTGGAGGACTTAACTGTAGATGGGAGCCGGTGGTACTGTATCCGCTGAGAGAAGGCAGAAAGTGCTGACATACATGAAGTCCACTGGTGGATTTGCTGGTACAGGATAAGAGATTTTCTGTGTGCTTCTATTTTCTCTGTGATTTACAAGGCAGTGTAATCATAGAGAGAGATTAGAAGACCAGAGGAAAAAGAAGCTCTTTTGAAACAGTCTTTTTTTGGTATAAGGAAAGTGAAGTGTTCCTTTTGACATTTGTGGCTATGATTTTAAGGTAGGACCAGTCAGCATGATTGTGGAAGAGAAAGGGGTGATTTACTGAATTCCTAATATAAGCTGGTCCCAATACTAAGTGATACACATATCGTTTCTGTTCTTAACAATAACCATACAGGCCAAGTTCCATCTTCCTTTCCTGAAGTAAAATTGAGGTTCAGAGAATGTAAGTAACTCACTCAAGGTCACAAACGCTAGTGGCTGAATCAGGATTCCAGTTCATATTGCTCAGACTTTAAAGCTCATGCTCTATTATACCACAGAGTCAGAAAAGCATCAGATTTTCATCTGTAACTGCACTTTCTCCACATTTTTTAATTTGAGGAGAATTCAGGCCAGTTTCTGTAGGAATCATTCATCTGTGCTTTAAAATAACTGCAAGAATGTCCTTGTGCTGCTATTTCTGTGGAAGTAGTAGACGAAATCGGTTCAGTCAGGTGGTTGTTTGACTGACTGTGGACCAGCCTGTGACGTTGCCATTTAGTGAAATGTAGAGGGATCTCAGGTTCAAACCACTCTGTTGTCAGCATCCTGAAAGAGGAAGAGAAAGTTCACTTCGACCTCTTCTCAGTACAGCAGTTTTTCAAAAGGGCACAGTGGGTATTGTCTGAAATTTCCCACCAGTTTTTCACAAATTTCCCACAAATTTAACTCTTGGAGTTCATAGAAAATGATGCCTACATTCATCAAATTCTGATAAAAATAAATATTTTTGATCGATGTAAGTTCAACTTTATCTTAACACCCTAAATAGATTGCTTAAAAATCAGGGAATCTCAGAATACCAAAACATTTTATGTATTTGGTGTAGACTTCTATCTGTAGCAAGAATCTCTGTGACATTCAGTTGATCATCCAGCTTCTTGAACATTTCTAGGAATCGTAGTTAATCCCTTCACGGAATAACCTCTTTCTTTTTCTAAAGTGCTGTAATTGTTATAAAGAATTCTTTACGTGAGCCTTTATTTTAACTTCTGAGTATTAATCTTAGTTTCTCCCCGCCAGAGCTATATAGAGATATTGAACAATAGCAGTGATATGAGCATATGGGCGTTTTTGTCTTTTTCTTGATCTTCAAGGGAATGCATTGAAGATTTCTTCTTTAAATATTTTTTGTACATTTTGGTAGATAGCTTTCATTAAGTTAAGAAAGTCTCTTTCTAATCATTTTTTTTCCCTAATCATAAATAGGTGTCGAATTTTAGTAAATAGTTGTAAGGCTTTTATTCAAACGACTATGTGACTTTTCTCCTTTGCTTCATTATTAAAGAATAACAGTAATAGAGTTTCTGGTGCTTATTATCTCCTTCTTGGGATAAACCCAACTTAATCATGATATATTATCTTTTAATATACTGTTGGATTTAGCTCATTTAATTTATGAGAGAAATTAGCTTATGATTTATTATCTTTATCTGGTCAGGGGTCAAGATTATTTCTTACTAATTTGAGGTAGCATCTCTTCTATTTTCTGGAAAAACTAAATCAGGTCATATGTTCCTTGAAAGTTTGCCCTCTGGGACTGGGGCTTTATGAAAGAGAACTTTTATTATCTTTCCTATTTTTAATGATTCTTTCACATTTTCTTTTTCGTTGTTGCATTATAGCATTTTCTATATTTCCAGAAGTTCATCTATTTTGTCTGTTTTCAAAATTGTAGGGTTTTTTTTTTCTGATTTTATTTTTTATTTGTTTTTTTCCCAGCTTTAGGGACATAAAAGTGATGAATAAAAATTATATATGTTTAAGATGTTACAATGTGATGTTTTGATATACATGTACATTGTAAAATGATTACCTTAAAAATATGAATGCTTCACGAATTTACATATCATTCTTGTGCAGGGGCCATGTTAATGTTCTCTATATCATTCCAATTTTAGTATATGTGCTGCCAAAGTATACACTTTAGTTGTAATTTTGATGTGGTTGTAGGAGGCAGCGAGAACAGCATTTACCTACTCTGCATATGTATATATATATATATACATAATTTACTGAGCACTTACTTGGAACAGGCACCGTTTTAGGTGCTGAGGATATAAAACATAAAAAAGAAAAATAACGACTCTCGTCTTCTTGGCGGGGGTGGGTGGAGCGGTCTGGTGCCTGTCATGTGTGGAGGCAGAGGGAAAGGCCCTCGGCATCCTCTCTTCGGTGCCAGCGGCTTCCAGTCCTCTGGTTCTATCAAGCGCTGGGACACAGGGAAAAGAAAAAAGAAAAAATGAAAAATAAATCTCTGCCCTTATTGAGCTTGAGTTCTGCCAGAGGAGACAGACGATAAACAATATAAATAATATAAATAATGTGTTGTGTGACAGTATGTGCTGCAAAGTAAAACAAAGCAGGGAAATGTAAAAATGAAAACGTCGTAATTTTAGATAAGGTAACAGCAAGAAGGGCTTCCTGAGAAGATGGCATTTGAGTACAGAGCCAAACAAAGTGGACCCTGTAGAAATCTGGAAGGAAGGACACTCTAGGCAGAGAGAATAGCAGATTTCCTTAGATAGGGAGTGTGCCTGACTTCTGGAAGAATGGTGAGGAGGCTAGTGTAGCTGAGAAAGAGGGAGCAAGTGAAGGAAGGGTAGGACGTGAAGCGATTAAGGTGACTCGGGTCCATGCAAGTCTTTTGTGAAAGCACTGGTTCTTTTACTCAGAGTAAGATGAGAAGCCATTGGAGGATTTTGAACTGTGGAGTGGCGGCATCTGACCTCAAGTAATAGGATCTCACTTGGGCTACTGTGTTGACAATCAATGGGAGAGGTGCAAGGCTAGAAACAGACCAGTTAGTAGCTATTACAATAATCCAGACTCGAGATAATGCGGCCTTCAACTAGGCCGATAGCTGTAGAGGTGGTGAGAAGTGTTTAGATTCTGCTTAGTTGTAATGTTTTGTATATTTACATATTGATACATTCGTATAGTAGTCATGGGATTTCCTTTTATGATTTTTAAAATCTTGTTAGTAGTTCTCTTTTTTCAGTTTGTATTTTAATTGCAGGTTCTTTTATTTTTTTTACGTCCATCAGAGTTTGTCTCACCAGTGGTTCTCAACCTAAGGCTGTAGAAACCTTAAGGAGCTGTTGGAAAAACTTAAAGATGTCCTTCCTTTTTTGGTTGTCACATGCTTTGGGGAAGGATATATGTTGGCATTTAGTTCCCTGGGGCCTGCGGATGCAGAGGTCCCATAGTTTCTGGGAGTTAGTTGTACACAGTGAAGAATTGTCCTGTCCACAGTATACCCCCATTAAGAAACACTGACTTTAGTGTATTAATCTTTTCAAACAACTAGTTTTTTGATAATGTGAGTTCTATCATTTTTTTAAATCTCTGGATCATTGATTTCTGTCCTTTATTTCCTTCCTTCTTATTTCTTTGAATTTACTTTGTTCTTTTTGTACTTTCTTAGCTCACTTGTGTTTATATTTGTTCTCTGATTGATGTAGTTGAAAATGTAAGTTTCCCTCCAGGCACTCTCTAAGCTGTGCCCTACAAATTTTGATATGTGTTCCTTCATATTTCCCAAACAGCTGTCATAGTACCTGGATAATAATGAGTACTCAGTAGGTATTTGTTAATTAATTCAAACATTCTCCCATTGTTTACTAGAGGATAGAGTCCATGTTTACTGATAGATTGTATAATAATTTAAGTGACGGGGGGTACTTATACTGGATTTCATATTAATGTCTGCTCTTTATATTTTAGGTGCAGCAGTTACAAGGAGTGTACAGTTTACAAGATCAGCACTTCTGGACCTTATGTTCCGACGTTTATGTTGGGACCCTGAAATTAGTAGTAGCGCCTGATGCTGATGCCAGGTGGATTTTAAGCCAAACACATAATATTTTTACTCAGGTATGACTTGTTTTTACTAAACTTCTTTTAAGGGGCTTAGAATTTAATGTGTCTACTAGTTTTAAAAATATTTACTATTTAACATATTAAGTACATATATACAATATGTACATACTACACTGTGAGGTAAGCATAAACATACTTTTTTTCCACCTCAAATTTGGAGGATCTTTATTTTAGTTAATACTCTTAAGGAGGATGGTCCTATTTGCCCATCGTTGTACTGATTTAAGTTCCTTTAAGAAAAAGTAGATTCTCCTTTATATAATACTCCTTATATAATACTCCTTAAGACATGTTAGACATGTTAGATACTGTTTGAAGCCAGGAATTCTAAAATAGCATTTGGAATAAGAATAATGCTGTGTCAGTGGCTTTAGCTAAAAGCAGACTGTGTTAACATTTTTGCGTGGTAGCAAATCCATAGTTACTTCTGTGTGATTTACTAGTGTAATATGCTGCTGAGTGTCTCCTGATACTGTGTTTGGAATCATGAATTAGTCAATGCATGCCTGCGACCAAATTAATTTCAGTGAGTGCTTATGCCATCATGAGTTGACAGTGAGGTGGCTGATAATCAAAATAAGAGTGATTACTATGCTATTCCGTATATATTGGGAGAATAAGAACATTGTGTCAAGAACATCTAAGGAGAGAGAGAGAGAGAAAAAAAATTTTTTTTGGTCTAGATTGCTGGAAATATTTGGCAGAAAATCTAAATTTCAACACTGTTGCCAAATTTATCTAACACATAAATCTATTGGGGAAACTGGCGCCATGCCTTAAGACTCTGTGCTTAAAAACTGACATTGTGCCTCCCGATGTGATGCAATGGGAAGCGTACGACAGGACCCATGCATTTTTCTGCCAGAAATGGTTAACGTTAATATAATCATTAGCAAACAACCAGATAAACCCAGCTTGTGGAAACGTCTACAGGACTATTAGCCTGCATTCTTAAAAAGTGTCAGTGTCATGAAAGGGAAAAAAATGGTGGGGGATTATGCTAGATTAGAGGACACTTCAATGTTATGCCTATGTGTGTGTATGTATGTACGTATATGTATGTATGTATAGAGGAAGAGAGAGAGAGGTAGGAAGGGAGGAGTCACATCGTATCTTCAGACATGGACAATAGAACATAATATATAAACCCTATTAAATTTCATTAAATTCAGGACCTTAGCATAAATGAAATGATCTCTTTTCAAATGAAGCGAAATGTTATGTTCCTTTGGGAATAATTAGTGCGATAATCTTATTTGTAGGTGACAGCAAGACTTACTGTACTATACAACAATATGCTGATACCACTTATTTACTCCAGAATTTTAAGAACTAGGTCTCTTTGTTAATATAGTTTTCACTATAATAAATCTGTATTATTATGACTTCCATGATGAAGCATGCAAGACCTTCACAGCATGTCTGAGTGCTTCTCACACCTCCTCTGTTTCAGTGGCAAATGGAGAACGTGGCTAGCAATAACCTTGCTCTTCACTGCCGTTTCTAGATCATTATTCTCTTCTTTAACTTCAGGTTTCTCCTAGTAATACCATGATTTTGCCTCCTCATAATGTGAGCTCATGTTGACCTCTAGGATGCCCCATACTCTCCTAAGACTTTGACACTTAGTCACAGTTTTCCCTTTGAGAAGAATGCAGTTTCTAGGTTTAGATATGAGCAAGCAGCTACGTCTGTGCTTAGGAACTGCTGAAGCTGTAATCTAAGTAGGTGGAGGGAGGTTCTTCTGGTAACCTTAGAAATCTTGGCTTTTAAAATGCCTGAAGTTGAAAGTTTATTCAGCTGCTTCTTTGGTTTTGGAAACTGTATATGGGTTTTGAAAAATTTAAGCTCTGAAAAATATTTTAAGCTTTTTTGTCAGCTAAGGTCAAGCCAACTTTATTTCATTCCTGGGAGAGACTCTTTGGGGTCTGCAGTGAAGATGGTTCAACACATTTTTCACAGTAGGGAGGTGGGTGTCACACTACTAATGACTTCCAGTCCATCCATTTAATGATTTTAAGGGGTTTTTTTGTGATCATTGTTTAATTCTAACAGGTGCAGAATTGAAATGTTTTATTAATTTGTTTTTCTTTTCTGCTCATACCCTAGTAATACACATCTATAATGCTGAGTGTATTTCGGGTTTGCAGTGATGACATTCTCATTTCATGAGATGAAATTAATATTTTTTTACATTATTTTTTTAAGTTACATCTTATTAATAGATTTTACTTATCAAAAGTAATCAAATTCAAATTACTCCATTTTTGAGAAAAAAATCACACTAATGCTTTAGGTATATTTTTTGTAGAAAGACTTGAAATACTGGTGCCCTTTATTCCAAAAGATCAAAAGAAGGATTTTCTCAGTAATAAATTATACTTTTTGGTTTGATGATATTTTTAGGTGTCTTTCTTATAGCTGATCTTAGATCAAAAATTAAGTGATAATTTTTGGTTAAAAAGTTGTTAAAATTTTTATGAAGATAACTTTAAACTGAAAAGACTAATACCGTCAGAAGTTTGAGAATTATAACTTTCTATTTTGTTTATAAAACTATAAGTTTTGTGACTATTTAAAAACTGTATGTTAGGCATTTTTATTCTCATTTACTGTAATTATCAGTTGATCTTTAATGGCTAAAGCAGTGAGCTTGCTATGCATGAGCACGAAGTAATACAAGTGAATCGATGAGTCTCTTCAGTGCTTCGTTTCCTCTGGGATTATTAGTTAAGTGATAATCCAGTTTTCACACTGTAAGGTTTTTTGTTGGCATAGAAAAGTCCCTTCGTTCTTTCTCCCCATGCACTTTTAAAAAATGAGTTATCATTTGAGAATCGATGAAATAGAAATCAATTTTTATGCTTAGTATATGAACAGGAAGAGAAAGTGGGACACTGGATTAGGAAGGCAAATTAACGTTTTATGTTTTGTTTTAAACTGGCTGATATCATCTGTCAGTTTTTTAAAAATTGTTAGAAATAATGTCTGAAGGACAATCTAGAATATGCTTGGGGTTCACTACTCTCCTCAGTTCTACAAGGCAAAAACGATGATTGAGCCTAATGCATACCATTTACTCCCTGATAGAATTTACACCTCGATTTCTTCCATCTTTTCTCCCCTTTTGCCTGTTTCTGTTATGCCTCTTAAGTCCTAAACCCCCAGCTTCCTGCTTCAGCTTTTTGTGCTCTGTTTTCTACCCTCAAAATAGAAGTTAACACTGATACCCAGGAAGGAACCCAAAAGCCTCCTCACAAGCCCAAATGGGAGCTCCCTACGTTTCAGAAACATCCACCTCCGCCATTCTCCTGCCTTCATAATAATCCCTTCCTGTCTGACCAGCCTTGTGTCTGCTGGAGGGCGAGAGTACGGAGTGGGAGAAGCTATCTATCCCTTTCCAGGTGGCTAGCTATTTTCTCACCCTTTCCATTTATTTTCCTATTCGTAGGGGGTTTTAATCTTTATAAGTATTGACTTTGCTTGGAAGTCTGCCTTTTTTCCTTATGCATCTTTACATTTTCTTTCTTCGTCACATGTACTGGGTAGCCACAAGAATCCAGCCTCCTAAGGAGGCTGGAGTGAACAGTCATAGGATGTGGGGCCAACAAACCCCTAGGGTTTTTGTTCTTAAGTAATCCACAGGTTTAAGTGTTCATTTATTGGTGAGTGGTGGCAGCAGCAGCAGCAGCTAGCCTTTACTGAGGGCCTGCCATGTGCTAAGCCCTCTGATAGGTACCTGGCATATTAATCTATCCTCGCAAGACAGGTGCTGGTATCCCCAATTGATGGAAAAAGGAACCCAGACCCAGGTTATTATTGTTCATGACTTGTAATTTTGTCATATTCACTCACTATTTTACTAATTCTGAGATGATTTAGTTTTCACATGGAAGAATAGGACAGTTTTTCAAGACTTCATTTTAAAGGGATAAAGATTAATAATATAGGTTTAGTCAAAAACTAAAGTCGAAAGTTTCTGTAATTTTTGAGAATTGGTAGAGAATACAAACCAACCAATAATTTTCTACAGCCATAGTCCTGTTTATTTTTCCAAGTTTTTTCTTATGGTTTGTTTTCCTTTCCACAACAATGACTATTTATTGAGGATATTCCAAGTCACAACATTTATTTTCTTAGATAGGTGTTAAAAATAACTAGCTATCTTTCCAATTTTAAAAAAATGTCAACTGAATTATTGTTTATACATTATTCTCACGATATAAGACATAAAGAGTATGATATGGTTTTCACTTTTTAAGGTCAACCCCTCGGCCATCCTCTGGCTTCTAGTGTCATCTCAGTGGTAGAATATACCATGAAGCAAGCACTGTTTTGATCAGCTGGATATTTGTTATGTCTCGGCGGTGTATGAACTGTATAGAAAACCTAGTTTGCATTCGGGGAGTACATGACTGACTGTAGGATTCTTTGGAGGTTCCCCCTTTCTCTCTACTTTGAAGGAAATTTCCCTGTGTTTTGCTTGTTTTTGTTTGTTTGTTTGTTTGTTTTTAATTAAAGTATCACTAACATATACTTTGAGGGAAATTAAGAAAGGAAAATGATAAATTGGGAAACTTGAGTCTCTCCCCATCACGGCAGGTGGATGAAGCAAAATGACTTTTCCTATTAGTCTGAGTTTTTGTATAAATCTCTAGCCCCTCAGGGGAAAGATATCAGCTTGGGCAACAATTAACTCATGATTATGCAAAGACCAATTTGCCTAGCCTCTGTTTTTCTCTATTTTTTATTGCCTTGGGCTACCTCATTTCTTATTACCATCTTCTCTAAGGGCTGAGGGTTAGGAAAGTGGCAGAGATAATAACAGGAGCCTAACTTATTTTGCCCACTTTACTTTCATTAATAATTCTGTTAGAAAAGAAATTAAGCCAGTTTATTTGGGCAATAGTTTTCTCTTAAGGTTAGATATATAAGAATTTCACAGAAGAGTTCCTAAGTATAGTTATTTCAGGGGCCATTTGGATTGAGTAAATAACATAGCAATTGTAATTAATCATAATAATTTGGTTTTATAGCCTTTTTTAGCATATGAAATACTTTCTCACATATTCACACATGGTCTTTTCAGTAGTGCCTGGTCTGTAGCAAGGATTATATCTGGATTGAAAAAAAAAAAAAGGATTTATTAAATATTTGTCAAATATTGGATGAATAAATAATAACTTTGTGAAATAAGTAGGGTTGGTATTTATGAACACTTAAAATGAGAAAAACTGAAATTTGGTTTTAATTTTTAGCTCAAAATCATACAGATATTAAGTTCTGTCTTTTTTTTTTTTTTTTTTGCCACAAACCTCTCTAAAGAGAGGGTGCTATTAAATGTATTCTCGGAGAGCTTTTACTTTACCACAGCAAGGATTTTTTTTTTTTTAAACAAGGCAATAAAGCTAAAGTGTTTTCCGTTGCTGGTCAGCTTCTAGGGTCTAGGCAGCTCTTTATTCCATTAGAGTAGCCCCTGACTCCTCTTAAACATTCGTTAGTGTTGTGCAGAGCCCTCCTACTTGATGCTGAAAAAAAGACCATGCTAGAAAGTAATGCTTTGAGGAGCCCAGAAATAATGTGAGATGGTAATGTTGCTCTTTTATCCCCCATTCAGTTTTTTTTCTTTCACGTAAATATTCTAATTTACTTTTCATTCTGTGATACTGACAGGAAGATGCTTACTTTAATTGGTTGTGTGCTTTAATTAAAAAAAATCATTTTATTTGAAAGAATGAAATTAGCGGAATTTCAGTTCATCCAGCAAATATTTATTGATCATTTACTGTGTGCTAGTCACTCCTTGAGGTCCTGGGAGTCAGCAGTGAAAAATAGACAAAATCCTTTATCTCGGAGAGATTAATTATAATAGGAGAGTGACAGCAATACAGCAAATTAATTGTACTATATCAGAAGGTGATAAGTGTTAGGGATAA